GAGTGGGCCGACAGCGGCCCCCCCCGGGGGGAGGGGCGCTTCCCGGGCCGCTGGGGTCCGGGGCGGCGGCAGCCGCTGCGCGCCGCGGGACGCGGGGAGGGCGACGCGTCTGCGCCTGCAGCTCGGAGCGGCGGCGCGCGCCTCCCGCGGGTATAAGTAGCCTGAGAGCCGAGGGAGGGCCCGCTAGATTTCGCAAGAGGGGCGGCGAAGGGAGCGTTTCCAGGAAGAGTTCAAGCTGGGAATTCCAGCAGCTGGAAGGAGAACTTCCTGTGCTGCTGTCGCTGCGGAGGGTGGACGTGGCCCGGGCCAGCGGGGATTTTTTACGGGCTTTCCATGGAGCCCTGTGGGATCTGTGCATCCCAGGCTGAGCGAGGCTTGGAGAGGCCGAGGAGACCACTTTGCTCTGGTGTCCGTTTGAGTAGCTGAGAGAACACCGCCTGGGCTAGGCTTCCAGGCATTTCTCTTGTTGCCTCTTGTCTCAGTTTAGAGTGACAGGTGACATCTTTCCCCTCTGCCTGGAAGCTCTGGGTTCTTATGGGGCTCAGAGGTTGGATGATGTTGAGCTTTCAGGTCTTAATTTAGGTAGATTAAATCATTTAAAAGAAACAAACCAAATTAAAGCGGAATGAGGATATTTTATATATACAGTTGGCCCTCTGCATCCGTGAGTTCTGCATTTGTGGACTCAACCAAGTGTGGATCTAAAATATTCTGAAAACAAAAACAAAAACAAAAACAAAAATCCTGCATCTGTACTGAACATGTACAAACTTTTTTCTTGTCATTTTTCTCTAAACAATGTGGTGTAACAACTATTTACATAGCATTTACATTGTATTAGGTATTATAAGCAATCCAGAGATGATTTAAAGTATACGGAGGGTGGGTGTAGGTTATATGCAAATATTACCCCGTTTTAGATCAGGTACTTGGAGCATCCGTGGGTTTTGGAATTGAAGGAGGTCCTGGAACCCAGGACTCCAGGGATACAAAGGGAGAACTGAACATGCAATTGGATTGGTGTGTCTTTCTACATAGGAGTAGCTCAAAAGTCATAGCCATGGTGGTTTAAGATTTAAATTATCATGATAATCTATGGGCAAAGCACCCCCGCATGCCTAAACTCTGCAGGCTAAAATCCAGAGTCCTCCCAATCTGTCTTTAATTCAGTCATCTGGTCTTAAACTTCATGGCTTGCTTGCTAATGTCCAGATGCCTGGTCACAGGCACGTTTGAGCCAACCTGCCTTTGGCCTGGATTGCAGTCCCCCATTGCATCTCACGGAGTTGACTCAGACTCCATGTCTTCCAAGAAGCCTTTTCTGAACTACTGGCTGCAATTAAATCTTTTCTTTTCCATGCAGTGTACTTTATACTTCTAATACAGCAGTTAGAACAATTTGACTCTCAGGAGAGGTATTATTGTGTACGTGTCTCCTCTCCTGGACTGCAAGCTCTGAGGGTTGACACCCTGTACTTTTCCGTATGGAATTCTCTACCACACCTAGCGCAGTGCTTTGAATATGGTAGGTACTCAAAATTTATTACACCCATTAGTTAATAAATCTCCTGTTAATTATTATATTGTATTTTGCAAAAAGTTCATCTGATAGTATTCTTTGGTCAGGAAAGAACTTAGAACACTATTCATTGATTTTTATAGCATCTGATTATTTCTCAGTTTGAAGAGTTATAGGCAAGAGAAGGGTGTGTAACTAGGGAAAAAGGCCTGATGGTGTGTCCTGAAGAGGCCTCATGGTTGGTCAACACAACTTTGGTGACTTGCCCCTGATCTAGCATCTGGTTTTAAGCCCTGTGGACATAGAAACTTGATTCTTAGCACATTGAACCTGATACTTACAACCAGAATGCTGATTTGTTAATTGTCAGTAGAACATAAAGCAAATAGTTACTGTGAAAAATACAGTGGCTAAAGGCACCAGACATCCTTGCCATCACATTTCATTCCTGTCAGTAAACCCTGCTGAAGCCATTTTATAAGCAGAAGGCTGCTCGATAAGCAGGGGAGTGAGTTAAAAGATTCCAAGGTTCACTGGCATCTGGTTAAGAGAGTCAGCTACGTTCATGCACAGTGTGGTGACATATCTGCCACTAGAAGCAGATGGCTGGGGTTTATGAACCAGGTCATTTTAGTTTTTGAGTAGTGTTTGGATCCATTATGAGTTAACGTAATGGACAACTGTATATCTAAATGTATCTTCCAACTAATAAATAGAACCATTGCTTTATATACTTATCATTATTAGGTGGATGAAAAATTTTGAAACCCATTTTTTATGAGAGGCAGACATGCTTCATTTATGTAAGTTCTTTTCTTTGCCAAAGGCAACCAGAGTCCCAGTAAAGGAAGATTAAATTACTGGAATATGAGGAATGGAAAAAATTGCCTCTATTAGAACTAAACTTAAGAGGCACTTGACTTATTTATCTTGTGGTTTAAAGATTGTTTTTTTTCCCTTGGGCCTAGGAGGGATGTACAATTCATAACTATCCTAATCTTTCCTTAAACCCTTGCTGTAGGGGAAAATTAAGCCTCCAAAAGATGCCAGCAACCTGAATACCTACAGATTTGCTGTTGGCAGGATTTATTCTTCTTCCTGTTTTCTTATCATAAGAACTCCAGATAAGCCTTCCCAGATGTTGCACACCCCCAAAGAGTTCCTGTTTAGGGCTTTCCACATTTACTTTGCCCCTGAGTCTTTTCTGCTCCTTCCTCACTCACTAGCCTGGTACCCCAAATTCCCCAAAAGCCAGAATTTAGACAAATTTATGAAGTAGGTCTAGAGCCAGTGTTCATTAAGTGTTATTAAGTGATTGAATAACTTTAACATCTTTAACATCTTGTATCTCCTTTTCTTTGTCATTTTTCTTCTTTTCAGGGACTCCCCTCTGTAGTGTCTCAGGTCTTGGCCACTTTTCTCTCTTCCCCAAGGTCTCTCCTTACAGTGCACCACTCTTTATTATAGTATGGGTTGGGGCTATCAACCAGTGCTGGCCCTAGAGGTGACTGACTTGATAGTCTATCTTAGCATGTATATGGGAAACTTCTAGTGATTAAAGATTTTTCCCTGTAGCTATTTTTTGAGGAAAAGAAAAATGAAAGGACTCCTAGAGATGTTTCTGCCTAACGCAAAGAAATGAATCTCTACTGGTGGGGATTTCAGGCACCCTGGAAGATATTTTTAAGCATGCGTGTAATGAATATTTTTGTCTTTTGCTTGTCTAGCATCCAGAACCAAGGCTATGGTGAGATTAGTGAGGAGGCCAGGACACAAAATTTGAGGAGATGCTCACTTTCAAAACTCACCTTACATGAATGTGAAAATGAGCATCTTCTTAAATTTTGCCCGTTTGGAGCCTCCTCACTAGCCTCTAGTCCTGGCCCTATAGCAGCCGTTTCCCTTTCTGCTGATTGTGTCTTCATTTTCTGTTGATAAACACTCTTGCACAATCTTGGTCTTTGTGGTTCAGGTTGAACTGACAGCACTACTGGGTTCCCAGGAGCAGGCACTTTACTTAGGCCTGGCCAATCAAAACACACAATCTTGTCCACAGTGATTGGTTCATCGATGGCATGTGACCTGGGCTGGGCCAACAGGAATCTTTCCCGGGACAACCAGGAAAGCAGCACACTCTTTACAGAGGATTGTTGAATTGCTGGAATGTGAACCTGGGTCACTGTGAGGAGAAAGTGAGCCTGAGACAGAAGCCACTTCAGGGGAAAGGAGAGAAAAGAGATGGGAAGAGACAGATTTCCGAAACTGTTGGAAGTCCATGCCTGAAGAGGGCATTATACCTTGGCTTTTAAGTTACCAGTAAATAGTTGGTTATTTGTGTAGTCCCAATTGATAAAATGGGATTGGCTAGGATGAGAAAGGCACCTGCTCAGTTGTGTTTCTCTGATCATATTGCCTCCTAGGGTGGCTACATTGCAACATGCAGTCAGAATGAGGATAACATTTGTTGTTCAGGAAAAAAACCAACACCTTTTGAGTTTTCTTGTAGCAGGTTTGGGACTTGGATAGGCAATCAATTTCTGTGG